CAAAATTACCTTTCCATTGATATATAACATGCCTACCTAATGTTTTTTAAGTGACAAATTAATTAGGGAAAACTCAACATCTTTTAGAAAATTTGCCTAGCACTATTATTTTCATCCATAAGGTTAACTCTTAAATTTGTTACATATATGGATGAAAATAATAGTGCTAGGTAAATTTTCTAAAAGATGTTGAGTTTTCCTTAATTAATTTGTCACTTAAAAAACATTAGGTAGGCATGTTATATATCAATGGAAAGGTAATTTTGTCTATTTTTCAAAATCGCCTTTTTTTAATTTTTTAAATTTAAATGCCTATAACTTTGACTCAGTCATGATTTTTACATAATTCTTTCACTGCTTGGTATATAAACTTGTTGTTAAGCAAATAAAAAAAAATGGCGAAAATCGGAATATTTGGACCTGCTATTATCAAAAAAACTAAAGTAAGGACGGTAAAAATTTTAAAATTTAATATTCAAATGCGAATATCTCCTAAACTATAAGAGATAATTTACTGCTACGACGACATTTTTTATAGTGCTCGATGAGGAGATTCTATATACGAAATTTTTTTTTAAATCGGAACTCAAATGAAGAAATAGGATCGTTTTAAAAATTTAACATAGCCGAGGTGTCCTAATTTGATGACCCCCCGCCGGGCCCCTGGTTGGCCTATAAGGTCCAAATTCAAAACCTAAACTCGACAACACCTCCTCTTTGTGCACACCAAATTTCATTAAAATCGGATTAACCGTTTAGAAGTTACCGAATTATTTCCCTCTTTTTTTTTTCCTATACCACTGTGGGTTGTTTTATTTCCTGTTAATTTCACAAGACATCATTTTTGTTTCTGTTGTCAAATTTCTATTTGATTTTCGTACGAGTCTGAAGACTGGCACGGTTTCCAAAAAAAAATTAACATGTTTTATTCGATTTGCGCCAAAAACAAGAAGATTATTTATTATAAGCCTTTGGATATTTATAATTCTTGGAATATCTAACATATTTTTTTTCGACTTAACACTTGACAACGAAACTTTTGGTTAACAAGAGGAAAAAAACGAATTCTTTGATCCGTATGGCATTATTATTTTTAAGTTAAATAATATTTATTAATTTTTTATTAATATCGTGTGTTTTTTCGTCATGTTCGTCTTCACAAGTTGACCTTTGCAGTCTCGTGTGTAAAGTTATTTAAAATATTTATTTTTTATTATAATTCATATATGACAATTTGGGGTTTTTTCTGATTCAACTTCATCATCATATTTATAAATAGTTTACGTTGTGATTTTAGTTTTCTTAAAGAAAGTTTTAAAGGTTTATTATCATTTTTAAAAATATGCAGATCTGTTAATATTGTCTTTAATAATACGGGCTAAAAAATTTAGTACTTTTTAGGTTGTAGTACTAAACATATTTTCCACTAAGCCAGCCTATAAACTAGACTATGTACTTAGTAGTATTTGATTGATTGTATAGACTAGTCTATGGACTAGCAGTCGAATGATGAATTAGTCTCTAGATTAATATATCGATAGTTTATGGAATGGTCAATGATTAATCTATGAGCTGGTCTATAAACTAGTGTAATATACTGAATAGTGTCTGGACTAGTCTAATGGCTAGTTTCTGGACTACTCAGTCTATGGTCTAGTGTGTGAAATAGTCTATTGACTGGTACTGAAAAAGTACAAAGTTATTGATTTTATTTCTTTTACAGTTTTATTCTCTCATATAACGTTGAATCCCACACTTCTACCTTACAATCCCGGTAAAGAATAATGCGTATTTTACCGATGCCATATTAAAGGATATTTTTAGAAATTATTTAAATAAATTTCTATAAATTGCTAAAATCTATTTTTAATGCATCTGGCTTGTATTTGTTATTGTTTATAAGAAAATATTGCTTTCTTTTTTTATATAAATGACTTACTTGTTCCTATATAACAATTTTAAGTTCCGCCATTTTTCTTGTTTCTCTTTCTTTTTCATTGGTTTTCGTATGTATTAAGTATTTAATACGAATAATTGTGTTAAATTATATTTTAGTTTTTGTTAAAATGGAATTCTATTTGATGTATTTTTTTTAAGTTAATTCTCCTGACTTGTTTATTATTTACCTTTTGACGTTGTTGGATTCCTCGTGGCTTTGGTTACGCCAAATTGCTCCCACATACATACGAATGGTAGAAGATATTTTGGAAAACAATGACGACATGTTGTTTATTAGAGAATGACTAAAATTTCGATTGTTATTTTAGAAATATTTAGTTAAAGTCTTAAAACAGTTGGTTTTCTTTTATAAATTTTATATACTTATGGATGTTTATTAAGAATGCCACAAGAATTTATTTAGGGGCTGGGGGCAAATCATGTGATGTTAGTGGGTACGCAGTTAGTATGCGGAAATTCTTAAATGTAATATTAATATAATGAAGCACATAATTTTGTATGTTGTATACAACACAATTGATAGCATTCTGTTGGACTAACTAGTTAGTAAGTTAGTTTGAAAGGAGGATGTATATACATCAAATCCGAAGAAATACACCTAGGCTTCTATCGGGCCTGCTGTGCGCTTCTTAACCAGTGCCTCAGGTGGCAACGAACCCACCACCAACCAGACTAGAACACTGACGACTAACCTACCGGAGGCCACTAACTACTAACTAACTAACTAACTAACTAACTAACTAACTAACTAACTAACTAACTAACTAACTACTAACTAACTAACTAACTAACTAACTAACTAACTACTAACTAACTAACTAACTAACTACTAACTAACTAACTAACTAACTAACTAACTAACTACTAACTAACTAACTAACTACCTAACTAACTAACTAACTAACTAACTAACTACTAACTAACTACTAACTAACTAACTAACTAACTAACTAACTAACTAACTAACTAACTAACTAACTAACTACTAACTAACTACTAACTAACTAACTAACTAACTAACTAACTAACTAACTAACTAACTAACTACTAACTAACTAACTACTACTAACTAACTACTAACTAACTAACTAACTACTAACTAACTACTAACTACTAACTAACTAACTAACTAACTAACTAACTAACTAACTACTAACTAACTAACTAACTAACTAACTAACTAACTAACTAACTAACTACTACTAACTAACTAACTAACTAACTAACTACTAACTAACTAACTAACTACTAACTAACTAACTTAACTAACTTAACTAACTAACTAACTAACTAACTAACTAACTACTAACTACTAACTAACTAACTACTAACTAACTACTAACTAACTAACTAACTAACTACTAACTAACTAACTAACTAACTACTAACTAACTAACTACTAACTAACTAACTAACTACTACTAACTAACTAACTAACTAACTAACTAACTAACTAACTAACTAACTAACTAACTAACTACTAACTAACTAACTAACTAACTAACTACTAACTAACTAACTAACTACTAACTAACTAACTAACTAACTACTACTACTAACTAACTACTAACTAACTAACTAACTACTAACTAACTACTACTAACTAACTAACTACTAACTAACTAACTAACTAACTAACTACTAACTAACTAACTAACTAACTAACTAACTAACTAACTAACTAACTAACTAACTAACTAACTAACTAACTAACTAACTAACTAACTAACTACTAACTAACTAACTAACTAACTACTAACTACTAACTAACTAACTAACTAACTAACTAACTAACTAACTAACTACTAACTAACTACTAACTAACTAACTAACTAACTAACTAACTAACTAACTAACTAACTAACTAACTAACTAACTAACTAACTAACTAACTAACTAACTAACTAACTAACTAACTAACTAACTAACTAACTAACTAACTAACTAACTAACTAACTAACTAACTAACTACTAACTAACTAACTAACTAACTAACTAACTACTACTAACTAACTAACTAACTAACTAACTACTAACTAACTAACTAACTAACTAAATAACTAACTAACTAACTAACTAACTAACTAACTAACTAACTAACTAACTAACTAACTAACTAACTAACTAACTAACTAACTAACTAACTAACTTAGAACTAACTAACTAACTAACTAACTAACTAACTAACTACTAACTAACTAACTAACTAACTAACTAACTACTACTAACTAACTAACTAACTAACTAACTAACTAACTAACTAACTAACTACTAACTAACTAACTAACTAACTAACTAACTAACTAACTAACTACCTAACTAACTAACTAACTAACTAACTAACTACTAACTAACTAACTAACTAACTAACTAACTAACTAACTAACTAACTAACTAACTAACTACTAACTAACTAACTAACTAACTAACTAACTAACTAACTAACTAACTAACTACTAACTAACTAACTAACTAACTAACTAACTACTAACTAACTACTAACTAACTAACTAACTAACTAACTAACTAACTAACTAACTAACTAACTAACTAACTAACTAACTAACGAACTAACTATGTCGAAACCCCGAGACTCTAGAAAACTTGATGTGACTAGCAAATTCTGAGGCCAGATTCATTTTCAGTGCTACTCAATTCTTTAGAAAAGTACAATTTTTAATGACACGATGTCTGGAAAACCTGATGGATAAATTCAGATTCGATTCGAAAAAGCATATTTTGGTCTCTGAGTTAAAAATTTGTGGCCTGTGTAATTAATCGAACTATTATTCGATTATTTACCCTATTAGTACTCACTCTGAGGTGATATTTTAACATGAAATTAATTTAAATCCAAACCCTCCACAAAATTCAGAAAATCAGTTCACACATTCAGAATTAACTTTTATTTTATTGATATTTTTCAAGCAAATGTTTCTTAAGTTGGGAGATTTATTTAAGGAGACAAAAAAATTTTGTTTGTATTTGTTTTTCTTTGCTAATTTAGTTAATTATGGAAATAAATTGAATTAAAGTCAAATTACAGCTAAGATATTAATCATTCAATTATGATTATTGCTAGTATTATTGGAATAACTGCCTTTGCGAGGCATATTTGGTGATTTCTTGGGCGACTTTAAGACATTTATAACACCCAAATCATTTTCTGGCGAGGGAGAAGAACCGGCACCCGAATTACGTCTAGACGAAGAAGGTCTGACATTAGTATCCAAATGACGGAAGCTGGCAATAAAAATAAAAAAATAACTATAAAATAAGTTCTTAAATGTCTACTAAGCAAACTTACCGCAATGAAACATTACTCTTCTGACCACTGTCCTCATTATTACTATTGAACAGAAACGCCAATGGCCATGATATCCAAGAATTGTGATCTATAGAGCTTTGTGTGCGTATAACGGGATTTGTTGACCGCTGACTAACCACCGGCGATGATATATCCAATGATACTTTTGGTGTACCCGCCTTATTGATAGCTGGATTATAGATTTTCGGATCACTGACCATGCGCACGAAGAATGAACGTTTCTTGGCCAAAGTGTCTTCCTTCTTCTTGTTGATAATTTCAGTAAGTTCATCGTGCTGTTCTTTCTCGAGCAGTTCATTGGCGAAATCTACAATAATTTCCCAGGCGTAATCAATATCTTCGGCGGTAGCATTTTGAGCTACAGCACAGAAACGTATAATGTAGCGCTCATTGACACAGGCCGGTACCATATGCAATTTACCCGATTCGTTGATGGCACTTAGCAGTTTTTCGTTTAGTTTGTCTGAACCTTGCAAGCGGAAACAAACGAGACCCAGCTGTGAAAGAGATTAAAAATTTATTTGAATATGAAATTATAAATAAATTACTAATGCCGTTTAATTTTCAGGAGAAATTTGATCCTCTTTGGGTCTGATCTATATTCTAAACTATAGACTAATATAAAGACATGACTATACACTTCACTATAGACTGATCTATAATCTTGACTAGACACTAGACTGATCTAAAGTCTTAACTATAGACTGATTTATAGTATTGACTATAGACTGATCTATAGCCTTGACTAAAGACTGATCTATAGTCTTGACTATAGACTGATCTATAGTCTTGACTATAGACTGATCTATAGTCTTGACTATAGACTGATCTATAGTCTTGACTATAGACTGATCTATAGTCTTGACTATAGACTGATCTATAGTCTTTACTATAGACTGATGTATAGTCTTGACTATAGGCTGATGTATAGTCTTGACTATAGACTGATGTATAGTCTTGACTATAGACTTATGTATAGTCTTGACTATAGACTGATCTACAGTCTTTACTATAGACTAATCTATAGCCTTTACTTTAGACTGATCTATAGTCTTGACTATCGACTGATCTATAGTCTTGACTATAGACTGATGTATAGTCTTGACTATAGACCGATTCGTTGATGGCACTTAAAAGTTTCTCGTTTAGTTTGTCGGAACCTTGCAAGCGGAAACAAACTAGACCAAGCTGTGAAAGAAACTAAAAATTTATTTGAATATGTAATTATAAATAAATTACTAATGCCGTTTAATTTTCAGGAGAAATTTGATCCCCTTTGGGTCTGATCTATATTCTTGACTATAGACTGATATACAGCCATGACTATACACTTCACTATAGACTGATCTATAATCTTGACTAGACACTAGACTGATCTAAAGTCTTAACTATAGACTGATTTATAGTATTGACTATAGACTGATCTATAGCCTTGACTAAAGACTGATCTATAGTCTTGACTATAGACTGATCTATAGTCTTGACTATAGACTGATCTATAGTCTTGACTATAGACTGATCTATAGTCTTGACTATAGACTGATCTATAGTCTTGACTATAGACTGATCTATAGTCTTTACTATAGACTGATGTATAGTCTTGACTATAGACTGATGTATAGTCTTGACTATAGACTGATGTATAGTCTTGACTATAGACTGATGTATAGTCTTGACTATAGACTGATGTATAGTCTTGACTATAGTCTGATCTACAGTCTTAACTATAGACTGATCTATAGTATTTACTTTAGACTGATCTATAGTCTTGAATATAGACTGATCTATAGTCTAGGCAGATCTATAGTCTTGAATATAGACTGATCTATAGTCTTGACTATAGACTGATCTATAGTCTTGACTATAGACTGATCTATAGTCTTGACAATAGACTGATCTATAGTCTTGTCAATAGACTGATCTATAGTCTTGTCAATAGACTGACCTATAGTCTTGACTATCGACTGATCTATAGTCTTGACTATAGACTGATCTATAGTCTTGACTATAGACTGATCTATAGTCTTGACTATAGACTGATCTATAGTCTAGGCTGATTTATAGTCTTGACTATAGACTGATCTATAGTATTGACAATAGACTGATCTATAGTCTTGACTATAGAATGATCTACAGTCTTGACTATAGACTGATCTATAGTCTTGACAAATCTATAGTCTTGACTATAGACAAGTCGGGATTATGATATAGTCGGGACTAAAGACTGATTAATAGTCTTGACTGTAGAGTCATCTATATTCTTGATTAAAGACTGATATCTGGTCTTGATTAAAGACAGAATTAGAGTTTGTCCTTTTTTATTCCATGAACATTTGAGTTTCCAAAAACATCAACTTTTTGACAGAAAGGGCAGAGAAAGGCAACATTTACATAAGTTCAATGACTCAGCCAATAGAGATGAGACAGTTTTAAAAGAACCAAGAATGTATAACGAACGAAAGCTTATTTAACATTAAAATTTTCATAAATAGGAATAAATCAAATCGGACAGATCTGCTGTGATGTACTAAGTCCCTAAAAAAGACAATAATACTCCTACATAAATTTATAAATTCATGTTGATTGATAACCCAATATATGTAAATGTATGGCGAAATTTCTTTTTATAATTTAGCAATTAATCATAAAATCTTTACAAATAATAATTTACATAAACAGACAGTCTATCATATACATATGTATGTATTGTTTTAAAAACCTCTATACAAAGATCATGGAATGAAATATAATCGACAAATAAAAACGCCAAATAGTCTATAAAAATAAGACAAACAAGTGAAAAAGCAATGTTGGCCAAGCTCGACTATATAATGTCCTACAGCGATATGTATCAGAGTTATAAACCGATTAAAAAGTTTGGAATTTATCGCAGTTGTGGAACGATCGTGATCAAATTATGTACAAAATGCTTTACATTTATGAGAAATATTTTCAATTATGGACCGATATTGTAGATATTTGTGTTTAATTTCATCTGGATACTGTATTTTTTTAGATATTTATTTTGAATAAAGTGATTTTAGAAAGGTAGATCCAAACAAATTTTCGAAGTATTGATTCTGTTTTTTCAAATGTTTGTGGGCCTGTGTTTATTTTTAATTATAGTGTTGTAGGGTACTTAAATCGAAAAAACCCCAACCAACTAATAAACAAAAATCAAATGTGTATGAAAAAAAAAAAACAAACAAAGTACTCTTACAAATATGACAGCAACGTCAACTACTCGTTTTCATACGTTTTACTTTCGCATAATTGATTTCAATTGAAATCCAATAAATAGTAGAAGTTTATAAAAATCATTGTATGTTTTTGACATTAGACATTATAGGAAATCAAAAATCAATTAAACTGTGAATACACTGCTTAAGTATTTATTTCAACGCCATAACAAGAGCAAAAACACAATGGTAACGACAAGAGATATAAAACTACTTGTTGCTTTCACATCCAGAGCTTCTTAATCACACTTGTAATAAGAGGGGTTTTATTATAACTGCCTTCCAAAAAGAAATTTTTTAGTCTTACACTCACAGATATATTCGTTTTACACCCTATTATAGGACCTATAATAGGGACATCTTAACATTGAGAGTTGATCCTACATCTATCGAATTGGTTGTCATTTATTTAGTTTATTGGCTGTCATTTTATTAGTTTTATCACTATGGGCGTATATAGCGTTCAGCTATAAATGTTCTGTTCGGGCATCGTTTTGTCCAAAGACAGAACTATTCATAGTGTTGTGGATAACTATGAGTTCACTAGTTCATTAGTAGACCATGATCTGCAAACGTACAAAATTTAAATGACCCAGAAACTAAAGGTAAACAATACGACATTCTAATGAGCAATTTCAGTGATATGTACTCGCCCCCGAGATACATAGTTTAGCCATAGTTTAGTTTTATTTTCGATATTTGCAACCCTGTGAAACCGCAACGGACCATTATATATTCCATACATTACAGCATCGATAGGTCTTTTAACTGATTAGTCAGATCTTTTAAAAAGGGCTCATATTACTTTTTATCCGATTTTAAAACGACATAGTCATGTCAGTTCCCTTTAACATTGGCTATAGCTCTCCCACACTCCATTCTGGCAAATATTTAATATATTTTCTACAGATAATGTCACGTTGAAACAATGTGTGTGGGAGGTGGATTTTACATCCATGGTTTGAACAAAATGGCCTGGTTCAGGCAACACGATCACTGTAGCAACTAACTTACTGAGATTTTGGCTATAAAAAGGAACGGTAAACTCAATAAGTTACTATGGGATATAAAATATCCAAAACTGACAAAAAACCATATAACTGGTTATTTACACAAAAACCATTTACTTTGCGGGAACTTTATAGTTCTGTTCTGGCCACTTGCTTGATATCATAAATGGCGTTATCTATGTTGGTCGAAAGTCGGTTGTTGGTGGGGGTTTTAAGTTTGGGGCTCATGTCTTAGTATCCATCTTGACAGGGCACTGTATAATAGGCACCCCCGGGGGCATGTTGAAAGACCCCATCTTAGTGTGATTGCAATCCTGGGGAAAAGAGGTGCTACCAGTATCTCTAGCTTCAGCCTTTCCTTGGAATGATTTCACATGGACTCATTTAACAGAGAACCACATAACCTGGTTCCACGGAACCGGTAGACCGCAGGACAGAGTTTCGGTCTTAGTCATGTCCCGATTATTAAAGAGGTCCCTTCGGGATGCACGTGTTGGCTGCGGTTTAAACCCAAATTCGCGAGAATAGAATGTCGGTTAAAAGACTGATGCACGGTGAAATCTATAATTCGAAGTCAACAGATACCCCACAGAGAAATGACTGTGGGACTAAGCATTGTAAATGGGTTGGTGTTAAATGTATATGATACAGGATGAATGTAGGATGTACAATAGGTACCCCCAGGGGCATGAGTTGCTACCAGTACCTCTAGTCTGCCGGGACTATAAACAGGTGATGATCAATTGTATCCTCAGCCTGTATAGTGATTTTGTCGGATATTGTTCTCTATAAGAAGTGTGATGGGTAGAATGGTGATGGATGAAAGGTATCTTATACAAGTGATACCATTTCATGTTCTTTCCTTGTTCAGGTATGTTCAGAGAAAAACTCTGTTCATACCAGATTTACCCCAGTGTATTCTCTGTGAGTAAGAACAATGTCCTCGGCTTTAGGCCGACTCACCCACCCGACTCCCATTTGCGTGGTTGCGATGTTTTTGCATCTCGGAAGTAAAGCAACGGGGCAGCAATGGATAGCTCGGGTACTTGAGCAAAGTGCTTGTACATGGACCGGCAGAACCATGTATGTACACCTGCGTGTAAGATACACAAAGGGGCGGTGGTGAGTCGTCAAAGAAGCTCAGCCTGTGGATAAAAAAGACCACCGTGAAATAAGGCCGACACGCCAAGTGTTCACGTAAAGCACTTCGACTTCTTGTACAATAGGTACAAACATATGCTAGAAGACTAAATCTTCCATTTAATCACTTTTGCCAGAGTTGTCACAACACAGAAGAAAAAGTTATTAAGCATTTGTTTTGTCTCTGTCGTGGTTTGACAGGCATTAGGAATAAAACAAAATTTAAGTTATCCATGCCTGGTTCATGACATGACAGGTGAATAGTTAATAAAATATTGGTATTTTTTTATTTTTCAATATTTAAAATTTTGGGAAACTCTGCTCTGTCCACAAATGCCTATTATGATTTGTTAAATAAAAACTTAAAACCCTCACTCAAGTGTAACGTGAATGAATATGCGTGAACAAAAAATTGAAAAAAAATATTCGTAAACATTTGTTAACAATATAATTAAGTGATCGTAATATTTATTTTCTAAAGAATTAAATGACCAATAAACAAACCTTGAGCTTTAAGACAAAATTTCAAACGTAAAACATTGACATAACAAGAGGCAAAATATAAACTGCAAAATTTCAACTGACAGACAAACTGCCAAACACTTGAATTAAAGTCTGCATTTCAATACATAACTATGTATGTAGTTGTATATATTTTACGTCACATGTCAGTAATGGAATTTCTTAAGATCATTATTTTATTAGCCTTTGATATGAAGTTAACTAAAGCATTTTATTTTACGAAACAAGATTTGAAAGGAAAACATTTCGGTAACCGGATGTAATATTCAAATTTAATAGAATACCACTGACCAGCTCTGTTTCGCGTGCATTAATAGTTAATTTTTTAAAACTTTAAACACGTGATTATGAACACGAAATAATTGTAAAAATTTCATTAGATATTTGATAAAGTTTGTGTAAAAAAATACCAGTTTTTATGTTTTTTTTGTTCTTATTCAACAACTTTGTTGTGATTTGAAATATTTTTGTTTACATTTTATAAAACACTAGCTATACCCAGTGTGCTTTGCTACCCTAAAAGGAATATGTATAAATAAATACCAGATTTATTATATGTTACATATGAAAGATGTCAAGCAAATTATTGCAAGTTCGCCAGTTTCTATCTATCGCCAATTTCTATCTATCTACAAAAAATTTGAATAATATAAGAGTTTCCAAGATGCACGAAATTTTGTATTTAATTCATATATGTGGTGCCAAGCCCCCCATTGAAAGTCCGCCCGTTATTCTCTAAATGTTCACATGAATGTCAAAGTTCTTCATGTAAAATTTGAAGATTCTAGCTCTAATAGTTTCTCAGATATACGAATTTAATTCATGTGGGGTCTTCAAGCCCCCCGGATGAAAGTCCGCCCTTTTTCCTCCAAAATATTCAGATAAATATTAAAATAATTTGTTCAAAATTTGAAGAATCTAGTTATATTAGTTTCCCAGTTAAACGAAATTTTGTATTTAATTCATATGGGAGGTACCAAGTAACCCATTGGAAGTCCGCTCGTTATACTCTAAATGATCAGGTGAATGTCAAAGTTCTTCAAGTAAAATTGAATGATTCTAGCTCTAATAGTTTCTCAGATATACGAATTTTTCTATTTTATTCATATGGGGGCTCCAAGCCCCCCAGATGAAAGTCCGCTCTTTTTTCCTTAAAAATGTTCAGATGAATATTAAAGTTCTTCGTGCAAAATTTTAAGAATTTAGTTCTATTAGTTTCCCAGATAAACGAATTTTTGTTTTTAATTAATATGGGAGGTGCCGCTCCCCTCATGGGTAGTCCGCCAATTTTTTACCCAAAATGTTTATATGGATGTTAAAGTTCTTTGTGCAAAATTTTAAGAATTTAGTTCTATTAGTTTCCCAGATAAACGAATTTTTGTATTTAATTAATATGGGAGGTGCCGCTCCCCTCATGGGGAGCGGCAATTTATTCCGCCAATTTATTACCCAAAATGTTTATATGGATGTTAAAGTTCTTCGTGCTAAATTTTAAGAATTTAGTTCTATTAGTTTCCCAGATAAACGAATTTTTGTATTTAATTTATATGGGAGGTACCACGCCCCCTAATGCTAGTCCGCCTACTTTTTGTCCTAAATGCTCATATTGACACTAAAGTGGCTCCGACAAAATTTGAGGACTCTAACTGTTATATTATCTAAAATATACAGATTTTATATTTTCTTAATGTGGGCGTGGCTCATCGCCCACTTGAAATTTTGAAATAAAAAGTAGCCTATTACCTATTCCAGACATGCAGGAATATGCTGTGAAAATTTCAAGAAAATCGGTTCAGCCGTTTAGTAGTCTATAACGTTCAAACATACAAACATACAAACAAACACACATTCATTTTTATATATATAGATTGAAAATAAATTTTATAAAATTTAGCAAAAAATATTTAAAAGTATAAGAATCCCGAAATACCCAGACATACTTAACATTCGAACTTTGAACTCTGATAGGAACAAAGCCAAATAATTTTTTGTTAAAGAATTCCAAAAAAATCTCCGTGTTTTATTCACCTTAATGCCAGATTTGTCTTTCATATAAATATTTAATCATAAAGTAAATAGAATTTTATTCAAATTAAACAAATATTTTGTATTTTTAGTGAAAAATGATATTCCATATAATATCTAAAATAAATTGCGTATCATCTCTAAAAATTTCTTCCCATAACTACGAATTCTAATGAAACTTCACACAGTTTGGCCAACATTTTTAAAAATTTGGGGAACTTACCTTAACTTGATTACATATTTCGAAACGCTTGTCTTTAAGCACATGCTGTTCGAAACGTTTAGCCAATTCGATATGGTGTCTTATGTATTTTTGTAGTCCGGAAATTCCATATGAACGTAAAACGAACCTGTGAAGTGAGTGAGACCGGAGCAAATAACAAATCATCAAACAACCAAAAAAAAAAAAAAAAAATAGACATTATTAGTATTTCTGCATGATCATTTTGGGTAATTTTTTAAATAAATAAAAACAAAAACAAAAGAATACAAAGAAATAGGTGTTAAATTTTATTTTGGTATTTTTAATAAACAAAATACTTTTTTAACGTTCCATACGTACCACAATTTCAGTGAACGAAAACGTCGACTCAATGGAACTCCCCAATGACGATAATCGATGGCAGCATCAGAGTAGCCATGTTTTAAATACAATGGATCCACTACCAAGGCCGAGGTCAAACGGATACGATCACGTACCCATAAGGTGGAACAATCGAAATTGGTTAACAGCCATTTGTTGGGATTTGTATTAAATGAATCGGCAAATTCAATACCCTAAGGGATGGAAAGTTGAATTTATTGATCAAACAATGGATATTTGGAATTTGTATAGTTCACTAGTCTACGGACTAGTCTAGTATATTTACTAATCTATTGACTAGTCTCTTAACTAGTCTATGGATTAGACCATAGACTAATCTATTGGCAAGCCTGTGGACTAGTCTATGAACTAGACAGTTTGTGGACAAGTCTATGGACTAGTCTACAGACTGGCCTACGAACTAGTCTATTTACTAATCTATTGACCAGGCAATTGACTGGTCTATTGACCAGTCTATAGTCTAGTCTATAGTCTAGTCTATAGTCTAGTCTAGTCTAGTCTATAGTCTAGTCTATAGTCTAGTCTATAGTCTAGTCTATAGTCTAGTCTATAGTCTAGTCTATAGTCTAGTCTATAGTCTAGTCTATAGTCTAGTCTATAGTCTAGTCTATAGTCTAGTCTATAGTCTAGTCTATAGTCTAGTCTATAGTCTAGTCTATAGTCTAGTCTATAGTCTAGTCTATAGTCTAGTCTATAGTCTAGTCTATAGTCTAGTCTATAGTCTAGTCTATAGTCTAGTCTATAGTCTAGTCTATAGTCTAGTCTATAGTCTAGTCTATAGTCTATAGTCTAGTCTATAGTCTAGTCTATAGTCTAGTCTATAGTCTAGTCTATAGTCTAGTCTATAGTCTAGTCTATAGTCTAGTCTATAGTCTAGTCTATAGTCTAGTCTATAGTCTAGTCTATAGTCTAGTCTATAGTCTAGTCTATAGTCTAGTCTATAGTCTAGTCTATAGTCTAGTCTATAGTCTAGTCTATAGTCTAGTCTATAGTCTAGTCTATAGTCTAGTCTATAGTCTAGTCTATAGTCTAGTCTATAGTCTAGTCTATAGTCTAGTCTATAGTCTAGTCTATAGTCTAGTCTATAGTCTAGTCTATAGTCTAGTCTATAGTCTAGTCTATAGTCTAGTCTATAGTCTAGTCTATAGTCTAGTCTATAGTCTAGTCTATAGTCTAGTCTATAGTCTAGTCTATAGTCTAGTCTATAGTCTAGTCTATAGTCTAGTCTATAGTCTAGTCTATAGTCTAGTCTATAGTCTAGTCTATAGTCTAGTCTATAGTCTAGTCTATAGTCTAGTCTATAGTCTAGTCTATAGTCTAGTCTATAGTCTAGTCTATAGTCTAGTCTATAGTCTAGTCTATAGTCTAGTCTATAGTCTAGTCTATAGTCTAGTCTATAGTCTAGTCTATAGTCTAGTCTATAGTCTAGTCTATAGTCTAGTCTATAGTCTAGTCTATAGTCTAGTCTATAGTCTAGTCTATAGTCTAGTCTATAGTCTAGTCTATAGTCTAGTCTATAGTCTAGTCTATAGTCTAGTCTATAGTCTAGTCTATAGTCTAGTCTAGTCTATAGTCTAGTCTATAGTCTAGTCTATAGTCTAGTCTAGTCTAGTCTATAGTCTAGTCTATAGTCTAGTCTATAGTCTAGTCTATAGTCTAGTCTATAGTCTAGTCTATGTCTAGTCTATAGTCTAGTCTAGTCTAGTCTATAGTCTAGTCTATAGTCTAGTCTAGTCTATAGTCTAGTCTATAGTCTAGTCTATAGTCTAGTCTATAGTCTAGTCTATAGTCTAGTCTATAGTCTAGTCTATAGTCTAGTCTATAGTCTAGTCTATAGTCTAGTCTATAGTCTAGTCTATAGTCTAGTCTATAGTCTAGTCTATAGTCTAGTCTATAGTTTATACTCTAGTCTATAGTCTTGTCTATAATTCTGTCTATAATCTAGTCTGTATTCTAGACTATTCTGTGGACTTGCTCATGGAGTAGTCTATGGACTACTATATTCTTTTAAACCAATTTGCTATGGACTGTTTCATGCTAGTTTTAGAGGTTAGTTCCAGCATTGAGCTCGCCTCTCCAGAAACATTCAACACTTACCTTTAACAACGGCTTTAATTCTGGACATATGAAAGAGTTACCAGCATAGGCGGCATCCACGTGTAACCATACTCCTGGGAATTTTTGTAATTCTTGTCCAATTTCATACAAGTTATCGAAAGCACACGAGCCCGTAGTGCCCAAAGTTGTGGAAACAAAAAAGGGTACAAAACCCTGCAATTCATCTTCTTCCATGGCCTAAACCAATAAAACAGGGCGTTAACTTATAAGTTTTAATCTATAAGCTTATATTATACCTCAGCTATGGTTTCTCCTCTCAAACTAGCATTCTCATCAGGTTCTAAAATTCTCAACTTAACAAATGATATCATGGCCGCTTTTTCCACACAACTATGAGCTTCTTTGGAGCAATAAGCCATTAATTTCGATAGCAACTGACATTCCTCTACAAAAGGATGTTGAGACTTAAGACGTTTCAAAGCTTGAGCACGGGCAGCCAACATTGTGACCAATATACATTCAGAGGCAGAAGTCTAAAAGATTTACTTTTATATATTCAACAACAATTTCACGGCCATTTTTTTATTTGAACCCACCTGTATAACACCACCACCAGTACTACCCTCCTTTAAAGCCAAAAAGTGATCTGGCAAACCAATAGCCTTACCCAACCAATCCAAAACTATAGTCTCTAATTCCGTACAAGCAGGACTAGCGGCCCATGAAAATCCTATACAACCTATACCATCACCCAACATATCACCCAATATAGAAGGAAATGAATTGCCAGCCGGAAAGTAAGCATGAAATCTTGGATGCTGCCAATGCGTTACACCCGGCATAATTTTATCCTCAACATCCTGCATAATTTTATCCCAATCTTCGGGTTCCTTGGGTGCTTCAGCTTTATGTGATAATAACGTAATATTTTTGTTTAAAATCCATACTTTTATCCTCACAATAACTTACCTGGTAGTAGATGTCTCAAATAACCAGGTTCTACACTTGGTGTAACGCGACGCTCATTTAAAGTCTCTAGATATTGACATATATATTCCACCATTTCGGCACCACGTTTACGAAACTCATCGCTATCCATATTGATGAGTTTTTCAAAAGCTGAAAAATTTATGTTTTATTTTATTGCGAGCCTAATTTTGATAATTTTCAGAAAATATTGAACCATAGGATAAATTATAGAATTTATTCTACATTAACTAGCAAACATGGATGCATACTAATTCCACAGTAGATGGAAACTTGTTCCAGATCGTGTGCAGATTCTAGAACAGTAATTTTGAATAGTTACTAAATAGTTTTCAAGGATCGTGTTCTTACCATAGAAGATTTCGAAACAATTTCTTTGAACCGGGTGATAATATTAAACCCGTATCGGTCCTATTCCTTTTTCATGGAAACATGATATCAAATATAAAGGTATCATGTTTTTTGATGTTAAACATGAATTTTAAACGTACCCTGGAACATTTTTAGAATCTGTTCTAAAAAACTAGTAGTTCTAGAACGAGTTCAACCAACTAATTCTTTAATAGCATCCATGGAACTAGTGATTTCGAAATTACATCTAGAACCCGTTCTTTGGAACACGTTGTGATTGTAAAGCACTTGTAAAGAGTTTTCAAGAAACCAGCTAGTTATAATCATCAGTTATCTAAGGAAGTGGACTCCGGGAGTATTGAAAATGGAAAAAATATCACATTCAGCTGCTTGATTTGTTGGATATCCTTTGTGAAATATCTCATAACATAAAATAGTGACGGCTGAATGGTATCAAAATTTTCTCAATAACATTGAACCCATTATAGTTCTTCAACTCTTTCTTAAAATTGGTCCCAATCTTTACATTGCTAAAGAAAAATAAGCTGAGAATATAATTAGTTCCAGAACTCTTCTAAAGAAGTTATATATCAAGGGACTATATTTAAGAGTCTCTATCTTAAACAACAAAAGTTATCAGGAGAACAAAAAATAGTTTGTTTCGTTAGTTAGAGAAGATTTGGTGCAAAAGGAACCAAATTATTAAACAAGTAAGAGCGATATATTCGACTATGACGAATCTTATATACCCACCAAAGTTTTATACCCATAAGGTTCCCCTTATACATAAACAATGAATCTTCTTCGCTATCGTATTTTTAACCCAGTGATGAGCATTGAAGTCAATTTCGGAAGGGAATCTTATATGGGAAGGTAGAGTCAACTTGTATTTTTAAGAAAGAAATAAGTCCAATTTCTGAAGAGGGTCCTTCCGATCCATATGAAATTCGATAGAAAGATTGGTTTTAGCCAATACTGAGAGTTAAATTCATTTTCTGAAAGGGAAATAAGGAATACCCACCATCAAATCATTTCATTGATATTTTATCGCTATCGCATTTTTAACCCAGTAATGAGCGTGGAAGTCAATTTCGGAAAGGAATCTTTTATGGAGAGGTAGAGTCAACTTGTATTTTTTAGAAAGTAATAAGTTCTAAAGTCCAATTTCAGAAGAGGGTAGAATCAGTTATCGTCCGATGCTTGTGAAATTTGATAGAAAGATTGTTTTAAGCCAATACTGTGAGGGATAGGGTCAATTATAGACCAATCCTCTTAACATTTGTTGTATAATACTTCGTTGCGTTAAATTTCGTCGCTGTAATCGCATTTTTAAGTCAATAGGGCGTAAGGTCAATAATGGACCGATCCTCATAAAATTTAGTACAAAGATTTTGGTTCGTACAAAACAGGTTTATATCAAATTTTATTGCAATACTGGCATTTTAAAACAGTTATGACTGTTTAAACTGCATTCCGGGGGGCCACTTGTATGAGAACGAAGAAAGCTGCAAATTTTAAATCTTTCCGTTTGGATTCTATAGTGGTTTCAAAAGACAGACGGTCGGACATGACTAGGTCGTCTTAAAATTTATTAATGGCCCACCATATATGTTTATATTTAAACTAATGATTCGATATGAAACAACCGGAATCTCGATTTTAAATATTTTGAGAGAAACTGGTAGATTTTGAAGAAATTTTTGGAAAAGATAAAGACGTATCTATAGACCTGTAGAGCTATAACTATTGAACTATATTCAATAGTCGATATATTCCATTAAGATTCCCTAGAACAAGTTTTTAGGGTGACAAATTCAAACAAAAATTACATAATTGGTATCAGAACCGTTCAAAGTAAAAAGTTTCTACTCCATTACCTTTCCACAAAACCAGTTCTAAAGGTGACAATTTCGAACAAAAATCATTGGTTTCATCGCAAAGGTTTCGCAAAAGTTTCTACTCCATTACCTTTCCACAAAATCAGTTCTAAAGTTGAGAATTTCAAACAAAAATCATTGGTCTCATCGCAAAGGTAATACAGTCAAGAACTAGTTATGGAACTAATACAATTTTTCCTGGGTAGATCAATTATTTCTTAGGTTTCTTTAACAATATCTAGATTGAAAAAATTATCAGAATTTTGTCATCAGGATCTTGATATTTAAAAATAGTTTTACTATTTTAACTAAATAATTCTTAGAAATTTGTATTTCCCAAATCTGTAGAATACAAATCGCAAATCGAAATGGTATTCAAAATAACTTTAATAGTTTTTAAATTTTAATATGTTTTTTTTTTAGATTTTGAATTTCCAAACATTTTTAAAATTCAAATCCAAAGTGCATCTAAATTAGTAGAGTTGAAATAATATATTATTTATAATATTAAATATTTTAATATTTTAAACATCCTGCTATCTTTCCAATTATCTAATTAAATTATTAAATTAATTTGTTAAAAATTTTTAAACTTTTTAATCAAATTTATCATGATTTTTTTACTTTTTTTTTAATTTTTTAATTTAACACTTACACTTTTTTTATTTAAACAAAAATAAAATAAATTTATTTTACTTTATTATTCTTATAGTAAATTGTATATTAATCCTTTCTTTTGAACACTCCGTATCCGTTTCCAATTTCCGTTAACCGTTAGAAGCTGACGACAAAACTTAACTGATCATCAGTATGACAATGTCTTATAAAAAAACCTCGGTATCCTTTTCCAGACAACATGTACCCTTTTAGGGAGATGTTAGAAAGGAAGTCATCTAATAGAATATTTAATACTGCAAAAACAATTATAACAACAACAACTACTAAAGGCAAAAAACAAGCAATATAGAAAACAGCAAAAATGACACCAACAACATTGGTAGCAG